TAGTGTGATAGTAGTGCAGATGGAGATTATCTGAAACACGTGTGATGATGTTGTGTATATTTACGCAATACATTCCAAACAGTAATCTGATCACGCATACAGATACAGGTATTTACTTGTCAAGCCATTTTATATAAAAATATATAAGGCCAATTGAAATACACAAAGTGAAAAAAGGACTTCAGAATAAGAATAATAAAATTATAATTAACGCTGCGATTGCATAACTCGATATAGTGTGATGGTGGGTTGTTATTCTCACATGTGTTCCCACAGTTTAATTCAGCATTAACAACAGAATACCATACATGTATTTGAACATTCTATTTCATGTCGTTTAACGTAGTAAACCGAAATCACACGCTCAGTGATTCATTGGTTAACGAATATAAACTGTGGACAAATAAACAGCGGTTTGATTAATGAAAAATATGCCTTGGTTTCTGGGGTTTCAATAGTATTAATTATTCCTTATTATTCTTAAATCCTTTCTGTAATTTTGTGTATTTAATTCGCTTTTACCTTTTCGTATATCAGTTGAGACTTGTAGGTATTAGATGGTTGTAGGCAATCGGCTACAGGAAGCCCCATCTGACCTAAGTTTCGGGCTAATTGTCAGTCACCAGCCAGCAAGGAGTATCTACAACCAGCTTGAAAGAACTCATGTCCCTTCTGAGATTCAAACTCGCGTCATTCAGTGAGTACTGCAGTTAGAGAGGTTAACACTGAGTTATTCAGGCTCTCGATTGACCTTCTGTAGGACTGGTGTACTGGATATTTTTGATAGGACACTAGTTAGTAACTGATGTAATGTGTCCAGTCCCATCTTTTCGGTGCAGACCGTATTCTATCAGTCAAGAATGCAATGTGGCCACCATGCTAGGCTTGGAGGTCAATCACCAGCCCGAATAGCTCAGTGGTAACGTCTCTGACTCCAGTGCTCATTGGGTGACACGGGTTTGAATCTCAGAAGGGAAATGAGTTCCTTCGAAGAGGTTGCAGATACACATACACCTTCCTGACTGACTGGTGAGTGCCAACTAGCACGAAACCTAGGTCAAATGGGGCTTCCTGTGGCTGATTGCCTTCAACCATCAAATACCAGCAACACACAGTGCATCATGATGGTAAGCCACCTATAATAGGGTGGTCACATTGCAAACTTGACAGACAGAATTCAGTCTGCACCAAAGATAGATAGGACTAGACGCACAGATTATACACTAGTCCAATCACAAATACATTGACTTGACAAGTAAATGTATTGCACAAATGTATACAACACATTTTGCAGATAATCTCCGTCTGCTAATATAAACACTATCCAAATCCCAATCTATTCTATTAAGTTGTACTATCGTGCGTATTTGATTTCCTTCCTAATAATAATAATAATAATAATAATAATTTTCTATAATTAGGTTTGTAATGGTTAGTTATGTTTTTACGAGTTGATCATGGATTGATATCACCTAGAGAACCATTGAAAACCAACTAGGGAGTACTGGACAGCTGTTTCATAACCCTAGTGTGGGAATCATGGGCAGTACGCACACACTGCCTGGGTTCGAACCCAGGACTTTCCGTTTACAAGGCAAGCTCGTATACCATTCAGCCACTGGGACCCAATTCAATGACCAGTCTATGAATTCTAACTTCTACCAATTCGTGATTTAGCGCGACTCCAACCATTGTCGTTGGTGGGACATCCACCCACACACGTGACATCTAATTGGACCTCACTGGTCACGACTTCTCACTAGAACTCCAGGAAACTCCATCCTGTAGCAAGTCACTAGCCAGCATCAGATTAATTTTCTGTCTTATATCAATTCGTGATCAACTCGTAAAAAAAAATAATAATGATAATGTGAATTGCGTTCAAAATATTTGTGATCGCAGTCGAAGTTAAAACATTAAAACAATATAGTAGATTATCTACTTTATAAAAGAGTTCATTTAATGTATCGATTTTTACAAAAGTGATATGGAATGAATAAGATTTGCTAGGCACCGTAAAAATAACGCAGCAACAAGTTGAGAGATTATGATAAGACAAAAACAATATTGTAAAAATATATTATATATTGAATTATCTAAGTGTTTGGTTTGTAAGGGGATTTCAATTGATTGGTTACAGGATTTTATTGCGATCTGATATATAAGTTATAGAGAAATATTGGAATACCAGCTGGGAGTAGTGGACAGACAGTTGTTTCGCCAGCCTAGAGTATGGAACTCTTCAACAGTCCGGGTTTGCATCTAGAAGGTCATGGGTGATGTTCCCTAGTAACTAGCCTTATTCAGGCAGGTAGTTACTTGGATTCTAGCGGGAATTCGTGACAAGTGGTAGGGGAGAGCAGGTCGATTGTGAGGAGAAATACTAACCAATGATGGTATTGGCTAGCGCGCCAGTAGCGCTATATTGGGGATTGGTAGAAGTCAGAATTCATGCACTGATCACTGGATCGGGTCCCAGTGACTGAATGGTCTACGAGCTCGCATTGTAACCGGAAGAGTCCTAGGTTGTAACCCCATATTCAATTAAATAAATAAAGGTGACAACTGATATGATACCAGAAAAACCAAGAAAACGCTACATAAGAACCCTGAGTTCAAAGGCTACTTAGATGTCGACATTCATAGAAGAAGCATCTCACAGTCTCTAAAAAAGAACATTCGTTGCAACATCACAGAGAATAGTGCCTTGCAGTTTATCATTGACCAACCCCACGTGTACTTAACAGTTCACTTGCTCTTGTGACGATAATATTTGCCCACAAAGAAGATGTAGCTATGAAAATATATTGAAGTGGGTCACGATGCGATGCGCAATAAAAGAACATATGGTCGATAAATGTCACACGTTATCTATACAGTCTCCTCCTTTAAAAAGTTATCTATAGGGCAAACTCATCTGTGACGCTGAGGCTTTGGCTATCAAAATAGAAAAGTCACGGTGTTGTATAAAACAAAAGAGAAGAAGTTTGTTCAACCACTATTTCTTTCATACTCCTAATCTGTTTACGCCAAACCCATTATAATACCCATTCATAAATTTGGCTCTATTCGCTTTGCGTTCTATGTGCTCAATCTTTACATCCATCTCTGATTATTCCAACTGTAATGATTATTGTTTTCACTTTGAACAATTTCCAGTTTTATTTCAAACGTCAATGCAGGGTAATTTTCACTTATTTGGGAAGTACCGTCAGCCAACGCCAACGAGTTGATCTCTGACGAAATCTCAGCACGGATACAGAGGGCTCGTTTCGCATATGCCAGTTTACGCCGTCTCTGGCTTAGTAGATGTGATATCCGATTATCGAGCAAATGGCGGGTGTACTGCTCAGAAGTCCGCTCCCTCATCCTTTATGGCTGTGAGTGAGACATGGACATTCAGAGGGGAAGACATGAAAAGGTTGGCTGGTTGCGTTCTACCTCCTGTGTGAAAAGGTATAATAAGGTGAGCAATATTGAGGTTAGGCGTCGACTTCTAGGTAAAGAGAGGAAATCAATAGACGAGGCTGTAAAGTTACATCGATTACGATGGATACGATATGTGTTACGTATGCATGCCTAGTCATCGCCTTCCTCGACAGACGGGCAATGTTAGCTGACATAGGGTCAGGCTGCAAAAGAGCTAGCCAGTGGTGGTTAGACCAAAACATGGCTTAACCACTCAATGAAATCCATAACATTTAGTTTAAACCACATAGGAAGGTGTAAACTTCATGACTGGTTGGGGTCCTCGGGACGGTAAAAACCAACGGTTGGAAACAATTGGTGATATGGCTCAAAATCTTCGTTGTCAATGGCCAGCTCAGATGCATCCACTCCTTGTGACTTATGATTTCTAATGAAACTATATTGTTCTTCGTTATTACTATTCCTTTGTCTCACACCTCTGTTTACTGTCTCTATTATGCATTTCTTCTACTTTCTTCTCTTTCTTTGTAACCTACATGAAGGGAGTGTGGCGACTTGAACTACCGCACATATGTACAAAGTTCTATCTCGAAAACAGACAGATAGTAGGTTAATTTAAACTTCAATTTATACTAATGTTTAATTTTAAAGTATTGGTTTCCTTTTGTAGGGATTTTGTCTGATTGGTTGAGGGATTTCATCATGAGCAGCTGACATCAATTAGAGAAGCATTAGAAACCACCAAGGAGTACTGGACAGCCAGCTGTTTCGTCAGCCTAGTTTGGGATCCATCATCAGTACGCACCCACACCACGCTGGGGTTCGAACCCAGGACCTTCTGGTTACAAGGCTAGTGAGCTAGCTTGTAGATCATCAAGCCACCGGGACCCAATCCAATGACTAGTCCATGAATTGTGACTTAGTAATGTCTTCAACGAGTAACTGTCGTCACCTTCGACCTGCTGTATTTAAATGCCAACTGATTTTATTGATTCTACTCACCACTTCTACGATTTATGAATCCCAAGAACTATTTAATGAAGCATCTAATCTATTTTATAGCAGTTCACATTCTTATTCTACAAAACTTCCTTTACGTTCCTATTGGAGTCAAAAGCATTCACAACAGCCTGCTATAGACTCTCCATCAATACCTAGTTCATACGCTAGATAAAGAGGAACAGACGTCCGACAGGCCAGAAAGCATTAAGTGACAAGAAACTCGGCTAGGCAGACACCAGCCAACCAGGAGGCAAGAACCAACCAATCCAACAAAATTGCATTAGGAAACGAAGAAGGGTTTGGTACACATTGAGGAGAGCAACTAAGTGACATCGAAACGCCATATGTGAAACTCCAATGAGAAATGAGTTGGACGTCCGAAAGCGTATGAAAAAGATCATGTAAAGAGGTAATAAAAGCTTGCAGGTAATTGTGAAGCCGGTTGAAAGTAATGGTGGAGAATCAACTCCAGCGAATATGTACCACCAAAGCCTCACTCAGTATGCAAACAATGGGGATATTTTCCACCATTAATTACATAATAATAATGACTAAAAATAATAACTCACGATAACTTCAAAGCCTAATCGTTCAATAGCCAGCCGAAGTTCAGCATAACTTAGCTCTAACGATTCTTCACCGGGTATATCAGAGAAATGGTATAATAATGGACCTGTAAAAACCAGAAAAGATAATGGAAATTAATTGCAAAATCAATGTTCACCATATAACTAACTCTGTTTGGTATTCTATCTAGTCAGTGTTATTTTCAGGGTATGCAAAAATCCCCATAGAATACATAAAAATTAGCAATGCAATTAAGACAGCGATAAAGAGATTTCTTAGTTTTTCGTAAATTCCTTTGCACACCGTATAGTTATTTATGGGGTTTATGTGTACAACAATGTTAATTGCCAACAAAGGTTAGAGGTTACAGGATTTCATCATGAGATGACATTGGTTGGAGAACCGTTGGAAACCACCTGGGAATACTGGACAGCTCTTTCGTCAGCCTAGCTTGGGATTCTTCAGCAGTAGGCACCCACACCACGGGGTTCAAACCCAGGACCTTCTGGTTACAAGGCTAGCGAGCTCGTAGACCATTCAGTCACTGGGAGCTGATCCCATGGTTAGTCTATGAATTCCAACTTCTGCTAATTCACGATATAGTGCAACTGGCACTAGCCAAGCCAATGTGATAGCTGGCGAGTATTTCTCTTCACAACTGACGTGCTGTACCCCAATGATCAGGACTCTAGAGGTTGCCAGTCGGCAAAAAAGATGAAGTATAACCGATGTAAGGATAAAACTTGGGCACTGTGGGGTAGACTATAACTCCATTATGCATAAGATTTCATTTTGATAAAATCACGCACAGTGTTGTTTGCTTTACAGTAAGTAATATTTACTGTTGACCATGTTTTGAGCACAAATTGTTGCCACGCATAATCATATCAAGGCACTACTACTCACACAACTTTCTGGCTCCCTTTATATACATGAATAAAGCTCGATTAGACATTTGTATAAAATCAATATAAGATAAAGTATAATGTGAAGTAAATACATTTCATCATTATTTATTATCCTCCTCTGATTTAACTGGCGATAATAATATCTTCCATATCTCTGGTATTTGTGTTTATTCACTTCTATTGCATGTGTTGGGTGTAGACTCAATGAACTAGAATTCAGTAATCAACCACCTCTCTCTCTCCCCTCATCTACTTATATTACTTTTTAAGCATTTTAACTCTGTTGTGTACTAATGCATGCAGTGAGATTCCTGAGTTTTTTTTCAAAATTACTTATTTCCACGCGGTCAATCATTCTAACCTTAATTAAATTCTTATGGTCTGATAAACTCACCACTCCCGATCTACTGGTTTGACCTATATAATTGACTTGACTCACAGTCATTACAAGGTGTTTTGTAAATTATATTATTTTGTTTAATTGGGTTCACCGGGTCCTTTAACCTACACAGCTTGTCATAATTGAGTGAGTTTTAGGGTTTGAAAGCTTACCTCCTAATTCTTGCTTTATTGAGAATCCTACATAGGATCTCAGATGTCCTCTCCTTATATGGTAAAACAGTAGATGTCGTATAGTCTTTCTTCTTTGTTTTTATCATTATTAGTTTCATCATTATTTTTGTTTTGCTTTTAACCTATTTTGATATTCCTAATGAATTTTATACGAGAAATAACAAAGTGTGAAAAGTAATCAATAGCCATCTTTCTTAATCGAGAAAGTTTACCATTGATTAATAAAGTGATGCATAGTTAATTGATAGGAAGTGAGAACATAAAGGATCGAGAGTAGATCACAAAGGATTATTATTATCTGTTTCTATTCCTTCACGTTCCAGTGGGACTTAAGGGGCTTAAAGCTAGAGTTTCGACGTTTCGGTAGCACTGGAATTTATTTTTACAAGTTGGCGTTGATAGCCTCAAGTCTCTAGTCTAACACCTTCCCTCTTTACTACTGGCTTAGCGTGCGAGGTGTAGGAGTGCGCCAGTTGGGAATCGAAAGCCGGAAAACATGCGGAGTTGTTGGCGAGAGTTCTAACACACACACACAGATCACAAAGTAGGTGCCTAGAATTTATGATGTTGACGAAAATAAAACAGTTATTGTTCAGCGAAAAGGTTCTTTGTTGACGAATTCATTTTCTTCTACGCAATATCTTTCTCGTGAAGGAGGGTAGTGACGAAAGTGATAAATTGTCACAATCACAGTTGAGTGAGCGTACTGGAGTTACGTAATGAGATAACTATCAATCAGCAATTAAAATCCACCTTTGAAGTGGAAAACGTATAAGAAAAATGTCCCTTTCTTGAGCGCACGGAACCCCTTAAGAGGAGGTAATGTCTACAGGAAACTTATACGAAACAGTCAAATGACAAGTATCTACAGTTGCGTGGTAGTGGAACAATTACAGAATTTAATCAATTCGCTTGCCACTTACATCCTATCTGTTTGTTTTCGACATAGAACTTTGCACATCTGTGCAGCAGTTCCAGTCACCACACTCTTCATGTAGCACACAAAGCAACAGAAGAAAGTAGAAGAAGTGCATAATACAGACAGCAGACAGGGGTCTGAGACAAAGGAATAGTAATAACGAAGAACAATATAGTTCCATCGGAAATCATAAGTCACAGGGAGTGGGTGCATCTGAGCCTCCATTGAGAACAATTTTGAGCCATATCACCAATTGTTTCCAACCGTTGGTTTTTACCGTCCCGAGGACCCCAACCAGTCAGGAAGTTTACACCTTCCTACGTGGTTTAAACTATGACTGTTATGGATTTCATTAACTGGTGAAGCCATATCTTGGCTTGACCACAGCCACTAGCTCTTTTCCCAGCCTGACCCTATGTCTGTCGAGGAAGGCGATGACTAGGCATGCATGCGTAACAAATGTCCTAACCATCACAGTCGATGTAATTTCACAGCCTCGTCTGTTGATTTCCCCTCCAACTCACCTAGCACTCGACCGATGCCTAACCTCAATATTTCTCACCTTATTATACCATTTCACACGGGAGGTAGAACTCAGGCACTTGTGATCAAAGACAGCTAGCTAGGCTTTTCATGTCTTCCACTATCAGTGGCCAGCTCTGACAGCCATAAAGGAGGACGGAGCCGACTGATGAGCAGTACACACGCCCCTTGGGCGATAGTCAGCTGGATATCACGTCTACGCCATAGACGGCGTACACTGGCATATGCGAAAACAGCCCTCTGTATCCGTGCGGAGATTTCGTCAGAGATCAATCAACGCGTTGGGGCTGATGGTACTTCCAAATAGGTGAAGCGGTCAACGTGCTCTACCACTTCACTCACTTGCATCCTACATATGTGTAGCCCTGACACTCTACAAAAAGAATTAGACATTCTCAAAGAAATCTTTATCCATTCATTCAGTGACAAGAATATCAAACCAAATGAAAGAAAAAAGAAACCTTACATGAACCTAGATTTCAAGGGGAGAAAGAAGAATTTCGTTATCTTTCAGAGGAACAATCTTAGCAGCAATGCAAAGAGTAGTGTTTTCCAGTCGTCCACAGGTCTGTAGAAGCCTAAAGGATAAGATTTAGCATCTGACTATTTCTATGTGCACATAAATCAGTTCACCTGTTTCTGTGAAGCCAAGTACAATAGTCGTTCGACGCGTCTTTAAGAATGCTATTCTGCATGGTTTCAGAAAGGCAGAGCAGTGGCTCTATGAGGAGTGTGAGATAATCAAACACCTTATCAACACCGATCATTCTATTTCAACAAACTCCTATTTCAAAGGAATTAATTTATTGACTGAAGAACAATTTGTTGGAAAGATAATACTCTTTCATTCCCTCTCTGCATCACTGAAGTTCTAGCCATTCAGATAGAGAACCTGGAACTCTGAGTACAAAAAATAACTCCTGTATTTTTAAGTATTGGTTTTGTACGGATTTTGTCTGATTGGTTGGGGGATTTCATCATGAGCTGACATAGGTTAGAGAACCATTGGCAAACAACCTGCGAGTACTGGACAGCTGTTTCGTCAGCCTAGTTCGTGACACTTCAGTAATACGCACCCACCGCAGGAGTTCGAAGCCAGGACCTCCTGGTTACAAGGTGAGCTCGTAGACCATTAAGCCGCTAGAGTCCGATCCAATGGCCAGTCCATGAATTCTATACTTCTGCCAATTCACAATATAGCGCGACTACTTCGCAATGTCCTCTTCTATGAGTAACTGTCCTCGCCTTTAACCTGCTACTTTCCTGGTCACGTCTTCTTACTGGAACCACAGGCAACTGCCTAAATAGGACCAATCGCTAGTGGCCATCAGATCCATTTTCAAGGATTGGTTTTGTAGCTGAGTAACTGTGAGGACAGTTACTAAATGAAGAAGATACTGCGAAGTGCTCACGCTATGTCGCGAATTGGCAGAAGTTAGAATTCATGGGCTAGCCATTGGATTGGGTCTCAGTGGCTTAAAGGTCTATGCGCCCGCCTAGTAACCGGAAGGTCCTGGGTTCGGACCGTGGTGGTGGTGGTGGGGTATACTGCCAAAGAGTCTCAAGCTAAGCTGACGAAACAGCTGCCTGTCCAGTAGTCTCTATGGTTGTTTTCCAATGGTTCTCTAACTGATGTCAGCTCATGGTGAAATCCTGCAACTCTTCTATTTCTTTCGAACTCTTTCGTTATATCATATCTTGCCACATTTCTACATGTATCGTGATTACAACTCATTCAATAAATTATTCATCTTATTACGTAACTCTAATACACTTACTGACTAGTCTTAACAACTATAATGACAACTTATCACATTTGTTATTTATACTCTTTTTTGAATAATTATAATTATTATTGTATCCTTTAGTTCCTAGAGGAACATAGGGCTTCAGCTGAGCACCTCCATTGCCTTCGGTTTCCTGACAACGTTTTCACCCTGCTCCAGGTCTGTCCACATGCTTTCATCTCCTCCTCGCATGACCTCCTCCAAGTCACCCTTGGACGACCAACTCGCCGCCTCCCTTTCGGGTTCCACTCGAGGGCTTGTCTAGTGATGTCACTTGATGGTTTCCTCAGCGTATGGCCAACCCATCTCCATTTCTTTCTGCCTATTTGTTTCACAATCGGTTCCTGGTTGGTTCGCTCCCAGAGATCCCTGTTGC